TGTTTTAAAATAATGAAATGTAAAGATTAAATAAATAAAGTTGGTGAAAGGGTGTGACGGTATGGTTGGTATGCCCTCCAAAATTATGGAAGGTGGTTGCTAATGTGGAGTAAAAGAGTGTGGTGGTGCCCTCTAAAACGAAATGGTATGAAAGATTGAGGGGTTGTTGTGATGTATAGTGAAAGCGTATGGTGTGGTGGTATGCTCTTCAAAATGAAATGGTATGAAAGACTAAGTGGTTGTCATATAATTTAAAATTGTTGATGTGGAATGAAAGAGTGATGGTGTGGTGGTATGTCTTATAGACTAATGTCTATGAATCTAACCTAATAAATAAGAATAATTTTGTCACATGTTATGTTCTCATTGATTTTGCCATATGTAATTTTCTCATCATTTTTTAATTAATTGTTTTCCACATGTAATTTTCTTATTTGTTCCATTTTATTTTTATTGACACACCAGGAATTCAATTAAGCAAAATCATTCTTAAAATAAATTAGAATAAATGTCATACATAATGTCAGCTCGAAAATGGTTACTTTCTTATGTTAATCCGTAAATTCAGTATTCATTTACAGTAGTTTTAGTGTATAATTAAATTTATTGACATGATTAGCTAAAATAAAGGGGGTGTTGGATGAATATTTCCTAAATAAATATTTTCATTGGACATGTAATTGTTTTTTTATGGAATCAAATCCTTCTTGATAACAATTTTCAAGTTTGATTGTGTATATCATATGATCGGTGTTTGATTTTCATTTCTCCTTTCTCCATGATCAACTCGTCGGTTTTTGGTGGACTGCATAATCAGGTACTCATGTTTTCCTTTACATGTGCCAAAAGTAACAGACATAGTGGATTTTATGAACAAATGAATGGACAATAGGACAATAGACTGATATTAAACTTTTTTTAAATGTTATTTTCCACACTCTTAATCGCTTTCATGATCACCAATTTTGAATTTATATATGATATAATCGCTGTTTGTTTTACGTTTGTCCTTTCTCCAAGCTATACTCATCGGTTTTTTTGTGGACTGCATAATCAGGTACTCGTCTTCTCCTGTCTTCTCCTTTAGTTGCTTCCTAAGTATAGTCTATAAAGTAAAAGTGCAGCGCCATAAAAAGTAGATATCAAAGTTCTCGATTAGTCTGTTTAAGTTTAGGTTAATAATTTCAATTAATCATCATTTTATTAGTCCAGGGGCATTAGTATCAATGTTATTGTATCTGATTTAGGTGATCAAGAAGGCATTGTATAATCCTAAATTTATACTTTGTTATAGTCTATAAAGTATAAATACAGGGGCATAAAAAGGAAATTTCATAGTTCTCGATTTCCTATGAACTCTCCCCTCCCCTAGAATACGACTCACAATATTTTCCTACAATGTTAACAACTCTCTTACATTTTTAACACTGTAATGCAGACCTCAGAATCTGAATCGAGATCACTTGTTCTTTCTGTGATGTCGTTCCGCTCCCAATACTAGCTTCTTTCTTGGACAAGCCAGGGTCATTAGCAAACTAATTGGTGCCAATTTTCTGTCCTCAGTTGTACGAGTCACCTAAATACCACAAGGGCATAAACGTCAAATGTTGAGAATTACATAATATATTTATAAATTACAGATTTTGGGTAACAAAACATGCACCTAAAACCTTCAAATTGAAGCGTTTAAGTTTAGGGGCATAATTGTTATTTAATAGTCCTTTTATTAGTCCAGGGGTATATAAGTATTTTTAATTGGGGTATACAAGTATTTTTAATATAATCATATGTTAACATTACAGGGACAAAATGGTAAAATTGCTAAAAGGGCATAATGTTTATTTTATTTGTTCTAATTTGTGTAGTAGTACTTATAATTATATCTTATTTATGTTAAATCTATATTGTGTATGCAGTAATTAAAGTTTGGTAGACTTTTATCCACATTTATTATTGAATTCTACCAAACTAATATATTTTTATGTTTTTCTTTAATGTAGATGTGTAATGATAAGTTCATTAAAAATAATTAGATTTTCACTATTATGGAATACATACCATTGTGTTAATTATATTTTTAGGACATTTAAGTCTTTTAAATATAATCAAAGTTTCGTAGACTCTTATCCATATTTGTTACTGAATTCTATCAAATTTAAATATATTTTATGTTTTTATTTATCATTTGCACACTACATGCACATTTAAAAGGGCATAATAGTTATCAAAATTTTCATAATAAATGTTATTAAGTTTTTTAAGTAAAATACGGTGCTATTTCATTACAGGTTGATATGGATCCAAGCAAAATTAGCATGCTTAGTGACATTGTCCTATCAAAAGATGACTACATAATTAAGGTCAGAATAATTCGTCTCTAGAAACAGACAGTTTGGAATAACCCTCAACAAATCCGTCTATTGGAATGATTTTGATGGATGAACAAGTTAAATTTTATATATTATGTTTTTTAATAATTTTTATATTATAATTGCAATATATGTATGTTATTGTATGATTAATAATATATTAACTAAATTTTTTACTTTGAATGTAATGTTGAAAAAAAAATTGTATCACTACCGAGAAAATCGCTTGAAGAATAATCATGAACAATTGCATGTATGTTGTATTGTACAGAGTTAAAAAAAAGACGGATTGAAAAATTATTTTTAGACAATGACGGTAACCTTAGCAATAAAATATCCAATATTGTATTCAAAGAAATATTTGAAAAGTTATGATTTATAACAATTATTTAGAATATGTCATTACTAATTTTGAGTACTTTGGGTTAGTTAGATACTTATTCAATAAA